GTAAATCAATGTTGCAACTTCACATTCAGCAATATAACACAAGTGTTATTTTACATTTGTGTCGTTGAGTATAAAATTATCACATGATGTTATGTTTATTTTTAATTGATGATTTATTGAGAGGTCATTATCTCAATCTTCGTGAAAAAGCCTCTATCGCGGGACTTCCTGCCGAGAAGATAATTCTATCTGTCGTTCGCGCAATAACGTGCGAATCACGTGATTTTTCAGTTCTGGGTGGCATACGCATCGTGTGAATCGCAATACAAGGATGCCGTACAGCTAACGTTACGACAGATCGATGTGATTCGTCGATTTATTCAGCGATATCCGAACAATTTGCAATTGGTCACCGTCGCGGGGGACATCGAGACCACGTGGAGGAGCGGCAAAATAGCGTCCATGATAGGCGTCGAGGGCGGCCACTCCCTTGACTCGAGCTTAGCGGTTCTGAGACTCTATTATGACCTCGGGGTTCGTTATGTTACCCTGACTCACGGCTGCAATACACCGTGGTACGTCACACGGATGCGGCTTGTATATGAACGCACAGAATCCAATATCCTAATCCTGCTTACCACAATTAGATACGTTAATACCTCATGCTATTTAAGCGCGGCATCCTTGAAAATATAAATCATGATACGAAAATAATCACATCCTATATACACATGAACTTTACAATTTTCTATTCCTGCTTAATAATGACTGATAACGATATTTTTTTATATAATCTATGTGCGACTGGCATTTTTACGTCGGAAACAGAGTTTTATCTCTCAACCTTTTATCCTAAATAAATTTTATCCTATAAAGTTTAATCCTAAATAAGTTTTATCTTAACTCTTAACCGGGTGCGCCTCCAGACAAACGTTAACGGCACTGAGTGCCGCATCACAAATTTATTATTTAGTAGTTATAATATTGGATAAATAATTGGACAACCGTCATAAAAGCAAGTAAAATATATTTGTAATAAAATATAATATTAAAATTTAACATTAAATGAGGAATACCGAAAGTCAGTAATGAAAAAAAGACCTGCATTATCAATGATTTTTCAAAAAAACAAATTTTGCGATACTCACTGCCGCGGCGCGTCCGGTTAAGGGTTAAATAAGACTCAATTTTAAATTTATATACAATGAACTTTATCTTTGACAGGGCTGATGCATCGCCCGTGAATGAAGGAAATATTTACAATCTGACGGAATTCGGACAGGTATGTACGTAAAAATTTTTGAAATTATGTAAATTACGTTGTTATTTACAAGTCTAATGTCACGTTTCACTTTGTACTATCACACGATGCAAAATTATTAAGAAGACGCGGCGTATCTCGATAATTATATAATAATAACAATGAGATGGTAATTGATGGAATATATAGATATGAACAGCGCTTTCGATAATAATCAGAAAGCATGAACACGTTGCTCAGATCGATGAGATACATTTAAGTTTAATTAGGTAAAAACGTCAATCATTGATTAAATA